TCACGAAGACCCTAGATAGGGCGTATAACCAATTATTTCGATGTCAGAGTGACCATTCAATCCGAGATTTCGTATATTGAACTGGTGATTCATTAGTCAACTTACGGGTGTACGAAATCTGCGATCATTAATTAGTTGTAAGCAAAAATGTCCAGATACGCAATTTAAATGGGGCTTTTAGCTTCGGCAACAGAGGGGCTCCATAAGGCTTCTCCTTTGTCTAAGATGAGTGTTAGAACACACTTTCCTTGATGGTTGATGTGAACGCATTGTTGGGTACTTTCGATTTTAAGTTGGCCCATTTATTGACCATCGGTTACCAAGTTTCGTGAGAGGATTTTACTTCATCCTCCTATTTCCTTTAAACTTAAAAAATGCAATTAATTTCTAATATTTCATGGGAGATAGTGAACAGCATGATTAAATACCTGCGCGCAAGGAAAATTCGCGATAGATTTAACCAACTGCTGTATTTCGTTAAAATTTCAATTCTAAATCAGTAATTCTCGCGTTTTGAAGGCAATCTAACCTATTTTATAATACTTAAGCTTGTTGTTCTCATAACTTCGAAAATCAATATAATTCTACTATTATTTTTTGTTGTATTTAAGACTCAAACAATTGTGTTACATAATCTAAAGGAATATAGTTACTGTTAGCAAGGCATACTATTGGGCTTAACGTCGATTTAATTCTTAATCAAGTAATAAATTGCTCCTCCTTTGACAAGCTGTAGTTTGAGCAGAGAATCTCGGATGATTGATAATCCCGCTTTCTGCCATCGCTTTGCTTTGACCGCTATTCGCGCAATTATGGCCAAACCCACCACTCAAATCTGGGGCGTGCGATAGACTAACCTCCACGTGGTGCACCCTGGGCAACGTATATTCATACAGCAAAAAAGTCTATAAACTGGCAGTTGACTTCACACTTCAAACTACCATCACCCCACTGTATGTCATATTCGACTATTTTCACAGTACTCACCTCGCCTTCGTTCTACCTTTGTGTTTGTCTCTTACATCTTTGAAACACTCTTCTGTCCCCCCCCCTCTCGAATTTTTTTTAATTTGATGTTCCTTCCCCTCTGTGAAGCTTGAAGTCAACGAAAGGGCTAATGATAAATATCATAAAGCCTGCCATTTGATATAAATAAATAAATACCACTCAAATCTAGTTAAATTTGAGTAATTTACCAGCAGAACACCATGGTATAACCTCCCTACTGAAGTAATTTACTTTCCTAAGTGGAATTATCATGGAAATTTATCACTTCCTTCTGTTCTTTCATTACAGACACAACTTCTTTCTTTTAGCCATTACCTCTTGGGGGGAGGGGAGCTGTTTGTTCCCTTCTACTTCAGATATTCTCTACACAGTCTGTGTTTGAAGTCGTAACCAAAGCCTAAGCTGCAAGTACAATTCGAGGGTACGATTACTAACGCTCTTATTGCCAAGGCAACTTTGTAAATTCGCAAAACTGCATTTTATGGTAACAAAAGTACTCTATTCAGTCGCCGAACTGTTGGCAGTTCTGTTCTGTCTAACCACCGAGATTTCAAAATGATGGAAGTGCTGACGACCACATACGGGAATTGAATTGCTCACTTCAAGACACAGATGGAATTTTGGGTGTTATAGGCACTGCTCATTAGCTTACGGTTATATTGCGGAACTCGGGTTGTGGGATAGACTTACCTCCGCGTGGTGCACCCTGTGCAACGTATCTTCTTACGGCAAAGGAAAGTCTATTAACTGGCAGTTGACTTCTGACTTCAAACTACCATGACCCCACTGTCTGCCATATTCTACAACTTTCACAGCACTCATCCTACCTTTTCTGTGTCTTTGTGACTGTCTCTTTTACAATCGTAAATCCCTCTTCTGTTCCCCACCCATCGACTTTCTGTTACTTTGACATTCCGCCCCCATATGAAGCCCGAAGTCAACTAAAGGGCTAATGATAACTACCAAAACGCCTGCCATTTGAAATAAATATTGCAGATCGCATGATAGCCTAGTTTAATTATTTTTTAGACGTCCCTATTTCGCCAAATGGGTTAAACCTCCCCCCGAGAACTAATTGATTCGGAGATCGAAGCTGTCTTCTCTTTGTGACTTACGGGCATTAAGGCTTAGTAACTACGTAGGTCTTAATTAACTATGACATTATTGGTTGCGTCTTGAACAAGCTGTCAAAACGATGATGGGCCATTGTGGCATACACATAAGATGAACTTTAAGCATGAAAATGACGGCTGTTTTAAAAGCTAAAAATTAGAAACCTGACACCATTTGGATTCAAGCAAAGATGCCCGGAGTTGAACATAATAAAACACTTTGGTAAGACGAGTTGGTAAAAGTAGTCTAGGTTCAGTCTTCAAAGAAACTCGAAAATTCTTTTTTTAATTCCGGTATGGAGCATTGACTGTACACTGTCCGAGAAATGGAGTAAAGTATTAGGAAACTTGGCGTTGGAAAGTTCTGTGAAGAAGATGTCTGAATCGAGATGCTACTACATTGTAATATCAAGGCAAGGACAGTCGATTACTACCTTAACATTAACAAAGAAAGAATTAACTTTAACCAAGAAAAATGCTTCTGATTAGGGGTGTGCGATAGACTTACCTCCACGTGGTGCGCCCTGGGCAACGTATATTCATACGGGAAAAAAGTCTATTAACTGGCATTTGACTTCTCACTTTAAACTACCATGACCCCACTGTATGTCATATTCGACCACTTCCACAGTACTCACCTCACCTTTTTTCTACCTTTGTGTTTGTCTCTTACATCTTTGGAACACTCTTCTGTCCCCCCCCCCTCTCGAATTTTTTTCAATTTGATGTTCCTTCCCCTCTGTGAAGCCTGAAGTCAACTAAAGGGCTAATGATAACCACCAAGACGCCTGCCATTTGATATAAATTAAATAAATACTTGACAAGGAGAGTTTTGTGTTGTCATTTCTGAACTATGTTGTAACCTAAGTTCACTGTTCCACTGTTGTCAAACCATCATTCTAGACTTCCTAAAACATTTTGGTCTAATAAATTGGCTTTCAATTTGCCCTATATTGCCTTGATTAATTGGGAGGTTTGTCCTTAACCAAGCACAGATATACGTCAATTGACTAAACTTGTAGAATTCAACTAGGCGACAATCTGATCAGAGCAGGTGGAGACCAACTAAATCGAGGTTTTATTGGAAGACTAAATGGCATATTGGCTTGCGCCAGTGGTTACTTAATCTACGCCGTACCCTCTCCCTTGTCGAGCCTGCTACCTTGACCTTTACACAAAGTTCGTGACGACCTTCCATCGACCTGAATAGCCACCACTACCACAACATATATCACCATGTTTGCGCTTAAATGACAAATTACCGAATGCCATTCTGTAGCAGCAACTTAGCATTTTTAAAGTTAAAACGCCTGGAAGATACTATGTAAACATTTAGCACCCTGAAGAGTTTCTACTTCATCAATCCCGACTCGATAAGACTTCCCATTGAACACGTCTGCAATTACTTATACGCAGAGAATCATTAAAGTTAATTAACCGACACCCAACAGAGAGCAGACCACTCGACCTTAGACAAGTCAGTCAACCGTTTTTTACGATTATGTCGCCGAGGGTGTTAGAAACATGCTAGGCACTATTCATGACTGAAAATAAACAGATTGTCAGAAATCATACTGATCACACAGTCACAGTACCTGAGCCGTTTTCAAACGCAGAAAATGAGGTGGACAAGACACAATTGACCTCCATTTGCCAGCTATTATCTTCCGTTTACCTGTTTAAGCAGCCACAATCAGCTCAAAATAACACAAGGCGGCCACCCTTGGTCTGTTCTCAACAGCCCATGGTACCCTCCAATACTTTTCAAGAACCAATCATATACTTGCTGCTAACTCTACAGACCCTGTGACGGGATGTTTATTGAGGGAGAAAGCCAGTCTCCGGATCTGCTTATTCGGTAATCTCTCCCTGCAATAGCCCATGTGGCCACCTGTAATCAGCTACTGAAAATATCCCACCAGTTTAACCAATTCCCCTTTGCGATAAGAGTAGCAAGCAGGATCAATTCCAAAAAAAGTAGAATAAAATGAAAATCCCAGGTTAAAATAATGAGGTCAAATACATGCTGCTCGAATTCACCCCAAACACGCATTAAGTATTATGAAAAAAAGACAACAAGAATCGGTTGTTTCGTTTGAACAACGAAATTCGACCAAATACGCTAGCTTTGGTGACCTGCAACCAATATGATACAGAACAAGACCATTGATGTTATATTCATAAGTTCACTTAAAAACTATACAAAACCCGTTTGAATTACCCCACATTAACACTGATACCTTATTACTAAAAAAACGAAACTTCGATCAAACCACAAGAAATTTTGTGCAATCTTCAGGAAACAATGAAAACGGGAAAAATACAGAAAAGGGAGGGGGGACAATTGCAGTAGTAAATAGTGACAGCTTGTATAGTTTCACAGGTATAGGTGGGGGGGGGGGAAATGGATAGGGGAAAGAACAGAAGTCCACAAGCGCTCAGTAGGCAACACAGAGGTTCGTAAAAAAGGAGGCAGAGGAAACTGCAACTTGGTTAACCCTTTCGGGAGAAAATAATTTTGAACGAGAGGCACTATAGCAATGCAGCAAACAAAGTTTCTCGCTTTATTGGAAGAAAGCTGGGGATCACAAATGGGTAAGATGACGGGAGAAACTTAGTAAAAAGCGCAGACTCAAGCCAACAGCGGTGTGAAGGAGGGCACATAGTGGAACTTGGTTGATGAATGGAAGGATGGTTTACACCGCATTATAAAAATTCACTGGTCTGTTAATAGAGGAAGAAATATGGAAAATGTATGAGCCGAAATATGAGAACATATCTAAAAGAACACGAAGGTGTACGCTTAAATAGGGAAAGACAGGAGTAGAAAAAGGCTACACCCCACCTTTTCCTAGATGTATTCACTGCAAAAGCTACAGTTTAAGAGGAAGCAGCGACTTCAGCTGTATGAGCTGCTGCACGATTCGTTGTATGGGTTTGTCGCTTTGTAGGGCGACGAGAGGTTCCGCCATTTTCAATATGATTTGATTTTCCATTTATTTGGGCACTAAAATGGAGAAAGCAGAGTTGTGTTCAAACAAACAGGATTAAATAGGTTTAAGCCCACCTCTGAGTAACGGCGCAGTCAGGGTCACTGAGCTACAGCAAAAGGCTAAACTAAAACGGTGAAATCTGAGGGGCTTTCTGGTTAGGAAGCTTGCAAACCAACCACCAGCCAACAAAGTATAACTGAAACTAGCTATTTTGTGTATTTAAACTCTAGCCGTTCATATCAAACAATAACGAAGATACCTTTCTAGAAAACTGCAGATTAAATGCGAAGGAATTTTATAGTATATAAAAAGACCTCATAAGCTTATAATTCCAACGAAGTACCACAATTTCAGATGTCCATCTTCTGAATGCAACAAATAATCATCTACTCCAGAATAGATGAAGAGTTGTGTTGAAAAGTTGTAACAAACACCAAACCTCAATTAAAAAACGCGGCACATTGGCAAACTTATTAAAAATAAACACGCAACAGTACCATATATACTGCCATACGAAGAAAAAGCAGTAAATCGTAAGAATTACAACAAAGGATAAGGAGTATCAGAGTTAAAAACGATACTGCATGTCATAACATCTTCCAAATTTTCAAACAAGGAACTACATAGCCAAATGAATACCCGTATAAATTGATGTTTAGTGAAGAATAGGTCCATGGTGGTCTACTCACCCATTAGCAACTCCACTGTGTTCAGTGACACCATTGGCTTCTACACCGCCGGCACGATTTCCACCTACTCCGCCATTGCGAGTACGATGACGATTACCATTGGTACGTTGAGTTCCATCTCCACCACGTTGCTGGGCAGGGGGAGGGCCACGACGTCGTGGGCCTGAAGTTGAGGGGCCCGGATGAGGAGCGGGCTCTTCCTGTTGTTTCCTTAATTCCTCCGCCCCTCCATCTTCATGTTGACTAGCTGATCCGTCTTGGTGATTGTCAGTAGCATCGCCCGCTGAACGTGGAGGTCGGTTGGTGTTGCGACGTCCGCGATTCACCTAAAAATGATGAAAGGAAACGTGGTATAGAAAGGAGCCTATTACACCTATTTTGAGCATTAGTGTCCAGCAATTACATAGAATATACCTCTAAATCGATTGAATAACTCGCTGACCGGTTTAAAAGATATTGAGACATGAAACATTCCCTCAATTAGTTCAAGCTGAACGATCTGAAAATATCACAACACACATGCATGACCGGATTCACTCTCAATGCACTCTCAAATCGCAGTTATCACTAACGACAACTACCTTACAGATTCTCGTTCAATATTCCCAAACATGACAAAGGCAAAAAGTTAAAAAAACAAAACTGTCGACGTCAACCAAGCGAACATGTGAGCTAACTTCAGCCCTCTTGTAACCTAAAGCTAAGAGATGAAATAAAATAAAAAATAGCAACCTAAAAACTAATTTACCTGGCTACCACCCTTTTGGCCTTCGTCACCAGCAGCCGGCCCTCGCGGGCCTGAGGTGTCCCGACGATGTCCAACGGGACGGTCCTTTAAAAGTTCCCTCTTTTGAATCTAAAGCCAGAAGGGAAATACACTTAATTATACCATGGCAAAACCATAACCTAGGGTTGAGAAAAGCGCGCAAAACTAACTTCCAGCCCCTCCAGATCATATGTGCATTCCAGCTGGAATTCTATGAGTACTCGCGCTTTCTCAACTGCCTCACGGGTACCGAGTAGGTAGAAAGCAGAGTATTGGTTTGCATCCTCCGTTGTAGCCAAATCCGGATGAGCATCTTCAAGCTAAATGAATATACACACATAAATCTGTAGTCACTAAACATACCTTGATGTAATTTGGTTCAGAAACATGGTCTACTGAGACACCATATTCAGTGAGATCACTCTCCAAGTGAATATGACGGAGTCCTGCCTTCTCGTTTATCGAGTAAACATTTGTGGATTTGGTGCCAACAATACGTCCCACGAGACGTTTAGGAATGAGCAAACACAATACACAATATTCCAGTATGGCTCGGGCAGCTTTTGCAGCTTCCATAGACTAAAAAGGTCAAAGAATTAACCAAGGTTCGTTAACAGATTTATAATTTGAGTACGTTGAAACTTACTTCAGCAACGACTTTGAAGTGTGCTTGAGGGCAATTAAATACGCTAAGGTAGTAGGGAGTGCCATTCTTAGAAGAATCAGCATTAGCACCAGCGTTTGATCCGCTTTCATATCTTTGCCTCTTAGCTTCTAAAACATCAACATGCAAAACCCCTTTAACCGACCGGGCATTCTGAATGTTAGCTCCATGTGCGCCAATAGCAAGACCCATCAACACACTGGGTACAGAGAAAGTCTCAACGAATGAGCCATCTTCGGGACCAACGTTCCACGCGTTAGTGTCTGAATTTGCACCCGTATTTGCGCTATCTTTATCACTTGACGCCTAAACAAAAAACAAGTATAACTAGAGGCACCTTTAAAGGATAAGGGCACTAAAAAATCGATCTGAAACATACTTCCTGGCTTTTCCTGGTTTGAGCAATATAACGGATGATACCATGTTTTTGCCGGAGCATCCGAATGTGCATTTCCTCCAAAAGGCCAACAATATGAACTACTTCACGAGAAGGCGAGATAACCACCACACGATTCTCTTCAACGTAGAGGCTGGCAGGTTTGCCACAGTGCCCAAGTATGTGCTGATGCACAGACACATCAGAAGCACTGAAAAGAAGTTACAATACATTTACATACCTTAAGCTAGACCCATATATTAACCTATTAAATTTGAAATTAATTCAGTTTTAAATAGATAGTTCGAAGGATCAATAAAGGTAATAGAGCTGCTGGGAACTTATTTTAACCAAGCAGACAGCATCAAATGCATAACTTAAGCCATTCACTAAATCTAGGTACAGATCAGTGTGCATAGATGACGTGTACACACAGCATTAATGTATTCAAGAAACCAGCTATCAGCAATAAGCCTGACCGGTAAAAGAAGGCAATTGAATGATGGTTTGAAATTTGGATAACTTACTACGGTAATAGATCCTGAGGTATAACGATGGAGCGTGTAAATATGACTTCCGGACTCAAGCACGATGCATCAGACGTAGCGGGCCGCAAGGCTTTGCGCTCACAAATCTCCGTTAGCGCGGAAAGATTAGCGGCAAGATCCGTAAATTCTTTGGGAGGATGGGGCGCCGATTCATCAGTTGGAGGCAATACGGGTCTGAGTTGAACCACTGCGTGGGCATCTCGCACCTTGGTCACGATACACGGCCACCAAGAAGGACAATTTAGACAAGCAAGAGGATTTGCGAGTCGAGAACTATTAGCCGACTGTTGAACAGATTGTGATATTTTAAGATTGGCTAAAGCCTCCGTGAAGCTGTTGTCTTGACAATTCTCCTGCGTTGACATCGATAGCAAGGCTTCAACCGGCATGTGTGCGGTCAAAGACCTGAGAAAAAAGTTGTGATAGTTTACGCGATGGCAACAATCAGTGTAGCGTTATCCGACTCCAGGCATAAGGAAACGCGAAAAATGGAGTTATGATGAAACTAACCCGCACGGAAACGGTGTACACTCAATTTCAATAAGCCCCTAATTTCTAGTATGCGTACTAAATATCAAAGCTAACGCAATCTTAAAAACAACGATCAAAGCATAACGAAATGCAACACAAATGTCAAACAGGATTATATAAATGGAAAATTACATTGACTCCGAAGGTTTGGGCGGAAACCGAAGTTCTTGTAGGGGGATGAGTTCCTCAGTCGAGGGACTAAAAAGTTAAAATGAAATAATAGAAACTTACTCATCAGCGTAAACTATTACACCCTTATCTTCGACCAAGCGTCTCAAGAAACCCTGAATTTAGTTATAAATGACATTATACCGTACCTTTATATATTGGCCATAATGACCCTTAACCTCTATTTCAATCATAGCTTACAAACGCAGAAGCAAACGAAAGAGAATTTGAACGTGTGATTTAGGAGCTCGAACCATACCGACAATATTCACATAAACAAACATTTAACGAAATTCCATGTTATATTATGTTAACAATCTAAAAAATTGAAAGGTTTAAAATGCAATAAGATTCTCTTATTGTTCTCTTTATAACGCTTTTAATAGAAGATCTTAATTTATTATGCAACATTCAATATCAATTAACTGTAAATCACTTTCTAAATAAGAAGTAATTTAAACTTAATATTTTATTCTTAGTGTTCGCTTTTATAATTGCAAAATAATTTTTTTCTAATTCATTAATTTCGAAAATATTCGAGTATAAATCACGAATGGTCTATCTAATACTGACAAAGAGATGTAGAAGATTTTATCTGCAACCTTTAAAGGTATGGATGCAACTATTTCTTCATTTTCAATGGCAGAAATAAGCAGCTTTGCAAAATTTCAGCACGTGAAATCTGTCAAACATTAGGTGACCGAGTGTTTGTAAAAGGAAACTGAGTTCAAATTTACATAAAAATATTTGGAACAATAAAAGCTCGCCAAATAATTTTTTAAGCTACCTCACCCGACTATAATAACAATCAGTTCCTTTGGATTTTAATTTTCTGTTACTTCAGGCGTATATTTTCTTTACATTGTCTCCCCATTTACAACGAAAATCTTGGCAAGCTCTGATTGCCATACCTAAGTTTTATAATATCCGATTACTGGTGAATGTTTACTTCATTTGGAGGATCAACTAGTAGAATGGGACGATCGATTTGGCTAAAAATACCCACCTCGTATTCTTATGGAATATTATTGCAAATAAAAGCTAGACTGAAATTTTATTATTAATCATTTACTTTATACAACATCTGATGCGTTCATTCAAAATTAATTTAAGTTATTTCGATGAATAATAGCGAAAAAATTTCAATTAATATACTGTTGAATAATGAATTCCGAAAAAGGAAAATATTAATCATATAAGTTACATTTGATTGACTCAGTGTTAATTTCAATTGATATAAGTTAGTATTGCTGTTTATAGCAATATTTTTAATTTTTTTCCCATATAATCTCAAGAGAACAAATTGTAGAAGTCTAAATTACTCAGTTTAATAAAAATGACGTTTTACGTGTAATTCTTATGCTAGTAAATATGTGTTCCGTTTGAAGAATGTTGGTCCTTCTTTTCAATTCAAATTAATTAGTAATTATTATAAAGTAAAACGTAAGAATTGTTCTTATAATTGTCAGTGAATTTTAATCTTTGCTTGAAATATTTTATTGCTTAATGTCGCGTTACTAGCATTATAGAACTATTAGTTCAGTCAGTGGTTTATATATGTAATTTTTACTAAAATCGTGGCTTAAATGATATTTTCATCTTATTTTATTCTCTTTTATACCAAGAACTTATTAGTTGAAGAGATGGTCAATTTCCTTATGTACGCTGCATTTTTTACTAAATAGAGCATTTATCTATTACCAAAATTGTAATAATAATGATAATCAAAATTTTTAACAGTAATTGACGATTTAAAAACTTATTCTTCAGCCATACTAAAATTGGTAATTTGTATCAAAATAGTTTTCTTAATTGACCGGCATGATCAGCACATATTTTTGCGTGTGACGATGACCGACCAAGCGGTAGAGCAGCAGATGCGAGTCTTAGAAATTGAAATGATGCAAAGCATGTTTGCGCATATGACTGATTCTTGTTTGGTGAAATGCATCCCTCCTCGTTACACTGATGGAGATCTAAGCAAGGGCGAAGCTGTTTGCATCGATCGTTGTGCAGCTAAATTCATGGAAGCGTATTCGCATACAGTGAAGACTCTCGGATCTATGAACAACCCCGGAATAAATCCTCAGTAGTGTACTTTTATTTTTTTATATGCACAATTTGTTTGTATAGATTAGTGTGTAATCTTCAATCTTTTTTTGCTTGTATGGCGTCTATAAATTATATTGCATGTATCGAGTTAGTTATTTTCAAGCGTGCTCAGTATTCAGGGTCAGAAAATAGGAGGATGACTTGTTTATCGTTTCCGTGTGCTTTTTCTATGGCTTGAGTTTCTCAATCCTTTATTTCTATTAACATCGTTCCCATTATCGGTCACAATGTGGCCGCCGTCACCGATAGTTACGACCTGGAAGCATGTAGCTCTCGGATCGTAGTTTCTCGATCAATATAGGTCTAAGAAGTGGTTGGCTTCTCAAATGGTTAATTCTGTGTAACAAGATTTGTAATTGAATGTCAGCTTCTCGTAAATGTGGTAACGAAATTCTTCCCCCTTAACCGCATTATTCTATTCTAGCATTTAAAACTGTCTTGGTTTGAAAATTTTGATGCTTCAATAATAATTCAAATATAATTGTTATGCAAGATATGGAAGTATTGTTGTTTTATAGTGATTATGGAGTAAATGGCAGGCTTTAGGATGGTTTTCAATGGACCTCTAGTTGATTTCTGGCTTCGCAGAGGGGAGGAGCATGGAAGTCACAAAAACTTGTGGGGAGGGAGGGGGGAGAGAAGAGTGATTCATAGATGCACAGACAGGTGGAGAAAAGGTGGAAGTGGCCGAAGAATGAGGAATAAATTTAAATTGTCAAGTTCGTTCGCAAGCTCTGAAAACAAGCACACACTATATTATAACGGAATAATGTCAACACAACACTTGATGCTTAGCACTTGTCGCTCCTTTGGGGGGATGTAGGTTCGCCATGACTTTCAAAATACTCTTTGAACCACCTATTTCCTATAATTTCGGGCCTGTTTGGGTTTTCTTGCTATTTTCGAGTACTTGGGATCAATGCATCCAAAACCCTTATGCTGAAGTTGCGTCTGCGCATCAATGATTGGTCGCTTTGGCCCAGTTAAAGCTAAACACTCACACTGTTTCTAATGCACTCCCAGTGCCCATGCTTGCGCGTTCTGTTATGTCCTGATTATTCCGTATGCACATGCCTAGTCAGGGGTCAAAACAGCGAGGCACATTAATTTACAATCATTGACTTTAAAGTATCTATCCTAGTCTGAAATATGATGGACAAATCGCACACACTACGCACTCACGCTATCCCCATGTACTTTCTTCGGTTCTAGCACCGCGCCCAAATCCGAAATTGTCCCAAATAAAATGAAATCTATGATTGATGGTCGAAATGATTAGTGATGGGGAGTGCCACCACCCCTTAAATGGAAATGGTAAAATAGAATGCGGAACTTGCATCGAGAGTCAGGGCACAAGTGCACCAATCACCGGTGATACTACTATATGTGCTTTCCAGTTGAAGGCCAAGAGAGCTGCGTATATACAGATTAGTTGGATTAGGTTCTGCTTGAGCCCATCAGCTATTTAAAATCCCTTCTATTCTGCATTTCCAAATGTTAAGCTGTTTCGGCCGATTAAAAATGCATTGGCGTTAGTTGAGCAAGGGTTAAAGTTGATGGGTTCTAATACCACAAAGGCGCACACTCTTCTCTTCAGGTAATCTCAACGATGCTTTTTTTCCTAATTCAAGATGAGTTGTGAAAAATGGATTTATTGACCAGTGTGGAAGTTAGTACAAAGTAATGGCACTTATAGCTGATCAAACAGAAGTTGCATTTGGGTGCTTAGTCATAATCTTCAACTTCGGCTTCATTGACCGAGTCATGTTCACAGATTTCTGATTGACTGAGAGGTCTCTGAACTCGTGACCTCACCTACCCCTAGAGGGGTGTGCATCACGCACACAACGTTCCAGAATGTTCGAGCACGAAAGAGCTTCTTGTTTCAGTCATGCTAGCGTTGTAATCCCAACAGGATCCCTCGAATATGTGGAACACGTCATCGCATGCCTGCACACCAGGATTGAGAGGTGCGACCGTACAAACAGTGACCAATCATTAATCTCTGTTTGTTTAACCTAATCCCCCTTCCTAATCATGATTAAGCTTCCTGCGTCTACACTTTATCCGCAAGATACTTACTGAATAAACATGCTCCGTGCTACACGTCTGTTTCCCTTATAGCTGGGCTATAGCTTAGCAGCGTAGCAATCCGCTACAAATACATGTGCCTATTCCACTACTGTTAATTTCTATAAATACCTTTACCATTTGACAAAACCTTTACATGGAAAGTTATTCAATGTTAAATTATTTCAAATTTATATTTTTTTAGTTCCATTTTTAAATTTTAATTCGGATTATTCACCATTTTTAGTTAATTACATAAACAGCCAATCCTGTTCAATTAATCATTATGCAGGCTTCATCTAATTAATCACTCCAGTCCTCTGAATTTTAATAGTGCTATTTCAGTAGAAAAAAAGATTTTGTTCTTTAAAACATTTGTAATAATCGACATCTTTACTGAATGTTGGTGAATATTAACTAACAGTAAGTATGTAGTATTTATTTTAAATGTTCTGTTACGACCAGTATAGTTCATATTGTCATAACCATTGGAAATGCAAAATTAGCAATCCTAAATCAACACCGAGTTATTGACAGATGAGAAATGTGAATTCCTTCGGTAAGGATTGAAAAAGAAGAAGAAGTCACGGGGTCGAAGTCAGTTTTACCCCGTAAAAATTATTTAGGAACGAATTTATTCACATGATAAAATCCACTCAAATATGCAACCAAGTAAATAAGAATTCAATCTGAAACCTTGGGTTAAAACCATAAAACTTGAAACCTTGAGACCACAGAACTTGGCGAAGGAAACTGGCTCGTTGAGTAATTGGCGAATATACAAATGAATGAAAAATAGGAATATAATCTTCTATGATGGGTAAAATGCTTAGAACCGGAGCTCTGCTTTACCAAATTCGAGGTCAATCTATAACACTCTCTGAAGTAATTTCTACCAAATTCGCTGATTAAATCTAATTAAGGCGCAATTTTTTTTCCTTTGGCAATATAGACAACTTGATAAAATATCTCTACATATAGTTAAATATGAGCTTTGCTATTCATTCAGTCATAAGTTAACATTGTATATTCTCGTGAAGAGAATGACACCATAAAATTCCTTTGAGTAGCACATTGTGAAACTGTATCCATTTTAAGGGGGTCTATAGCCATAACCCGTAGCATACCTATCGCCTACTATGCCAAGGCGATAGCAATTATTTTTTATATCAAATGGCAGCCTCTATGATAGTTATCAATAGCCCATTTGTTGACTTCGAGCTTCACAAAGGGGGGGGGATTCAGTCGCAATAAGTCGGGTGGGGAGGGGTGGGGGCGGGGTCGGGAAGAAGAGTGATTCACAGATGTGAAAGTGACAGAAGACAGACACAAAGCTAGAAAAAGGTAAGGTAAGATGGGTACTGTGGAAGTAGTGGAATAGGGCATGCAGTGAGGTCATGGTAGTTTGAAGTCAGAAGTCAACTCCCGGTTTATTAACTTTTTTGCCGTTGGAGTGTACGTTGCTCAGTGTGTACCACGTGGAGGTAAGTCGATCGCGCATCCCAAGGTGATAATATAACTGTGGGAAAAAATAGGCGATGAAAATTTTATATTAAATACAGTAACTTCTCCCAACTTTATTGAAAGATGATTCAACTATTATACATTTTTAACGCACAAATCTTGGTGTTGTTGGAGAATTGGGAGCCATTGCGATCGTGAGTGCAGAGACCTCTCAACCAACCATCAGTCAATAGTCAACTTCTACGAATCCTAGTCCTATTTGTCTTTTAATGACTAAGCATTTTTGGTCTGTATCAGACAACAAGAATAAACGCTATTCACTCCACTTGATCTGTTTTCAAGACACCGTTGAGGTAGCTCAGTTGATTTGGGGAGTTGTTTTATACTTGACATATGTGAGCGCTTAGATTTGGTTGGAGCTCATTGAGCAATATATATATACATTCCCTCGATCAATTTACAAGTACCTTATTGTAATCATTTTCATCTAATAGAACTAACATTGGTTAGCATTCTGCTTGAGGTATTAATGTGTTTAAATCTAACTTATCTTAGCCTCTATATACGCCAAGTTATTTAAATTAGCTTTTTTTAAGAAGTCAGAAGTAATTGTCTCCGGAGATATATAAACATTTTAATACCAACCCAAAATGGTCATCATGAAATATTCAGGAACTGCGCGTGTTAATATGATGAAGATGATGGTGGAAGACGTACTCTCCTCACTGGAGATTACGCATAGATGATCCGTAACGAGTGGCCGGGTATTCATTGATGTGGTGGGGACTAATATTGGCTTAGTGATTATCGTCTTTACTTCATTTACGATAGTGATATTGTTATTTCCACTGGTAACTACCAATGAATTGACTTGGCAACCTGCTTTAATATTGACTGTATTTGCATGCATGAATTTAAAATAAGCAAAATAATCTAATTGGTTAAAAATTTCAACGTCTAAGGAGATTGTCCTTCACATCGATTTCTGATTGAATTCGGGTTTAGCAAAGAAATTTAGGGATAAACAGGAGGCACTTTTGCTTCCCAGGAAGTAAAAATTTCGACTCAGAGTAAGTGTCTTTCCAAGCCTTGTTACAAATTATGCTCACCCAGCCCTGCAACCACCTTTAACATCGACTTCTAATTGGTCTATCAGTTTAGTTTTAGAAAATTACAAAAAAAACTGATGAAAAATAATTTAATCGAACATATCACACACGGAGAGTGCCAAAAATACAATTTAAGCATAAATAATTTTATTTACCTAATCATCGTTAATATTGTTTTTTCTAACGGAATGAGAAGGGAGAAAATTAATAGCCGAAATAGGAAATTTGCATGACCTTGAATATATTACTTATTAAAAATGTGTCGTATATAATTCCCGCAGACGTGAAAAGGATACACTCAATGCACTCATGTTATCACTTACAAACAAGACAAGATG